GTAAGAAATGAAGGGCAGGAAAACCCGAGGTGAAGGGGTTTGCCCTTCCCGAGCGTGCGCTCCTGCTCGCTGTTGGGGCTTTTCGGTGGAGATGTATGTCAAAAATAAAGAAGTACACGTCTCGCATCGTTGTGATTTCAGTAAATAGCCAGACTGGTTCCCCTGCCTTAGAGAAAGGTATGTTTTGTTCTGTAAGTTTGGAAAAAGCCCTCTTGTCGGGCATGGGGAGGTTTGTGCGAGGGACCGAGTATTCTGGTGCTGTCCTGTTCTGAGAACGGCTTGGAGAGACTCCCCCTGCGTGCCGGTGCTAACTCTTCCCATCACTTGGATTTGCATGTTATAAGGCGTTTATACTTTTTCAAATCTCCCTGGAAAACACACAGATGCTTATTTTTCTTTCCTTTTCTTTTTGCTCCTCTCTCCTTTTTTTCATGTGACTTCAAGGGCATTTAGTATGACCCGTGTGGCATAATATTCGTGGGGTTTTTATGGAAATACCGTTTTGCGTGCTATGAGGCACCAAATGCAGCTGGAGGTCCTCATGTTACATAAAAACGCATATGGGATTTACTCAAGAGTGTTGTTTTCTTTTCGTGCTTCAATTGTATTGTAGCAACATAATGGTACAAACAAACACAGCTTGTAATTATTGTCCTAAACTTAAACATTTACAAAACCCCAAATGAGAAACCTAAAACATGAGACCAAAACTGTGAACCTCCCCCCAGAGATTAACAGAACTGCTCGTGTACAATTAAACTGGATAAAATGAAGCATGCGTGTAAGCGCTGGTAGGATTTGGGCACGAAATAGTGGAAATATCCACTATTGTCAACCTGAACAATTTTGAATTGTAATAAGACCAAGTTTTCTAGGTTTGTTATTTTTAAAGCTGCTGATAATTGTAGTGCCAAATTCTGATTTCTTAGCTTAAATAAATGTTGCTGGAAAGTAATAATTTTTGAATTAACTTCCAATAAAAATACAAATTGTATACTTTATGCTATGTGCTACCCAGACCTTGAAGCATCAGAACTTGCGTGTGAAACAGTCTATAAACAAAATTGAGTGTTTTAATTATTCTGATGAAGTTGATGAAGCAGAAAAGGAAAACAGGCCACTCTAATAAAAGGCAATCAGTTGGTTGGAGTATAAAATTTTATGGAATATACAGGCTTTATGGAATTTACTTGCAAATATTAAAGCATTATGACTGATTTTTAGAAAGAGACATCCTATTCCAGTGTGAGCATTTCAGTAGGTAATCTAAGTCAGTGCATTAGTTGCTGTTTGATGTTCAGTTTTAATTACAGAATTCTTGGCTGTGCTGAAATGTCTTGTAAGAAAATGTATGGAGTTGGTGTTTCTTAGTGTTTTTCCTTTCTCTGGCTGTAAAGCTACAATCCTTGCTGAAATCAGGGGAAGTTCCCCACTGTTACCGGTGGGAGCTGAAGCAAGGCCCTGTATAGCCTCAAACATTTAATATGAAGATGGGCTCCAAAATAGATGCTCAAGAAAATGCTTTAAGCCTTTTTTTTTTTGCCTTTTTGTTTCCCCCCTTGCTTTTCGTGTAGGAGGAAGACTAGTACAGTTACAAAAGTGAGATGTGCTGCTTTTGTGGCTTTGATTGGTTGTTGGTTTTGTGTGTTTTCTGCAGGTCTTGTCTGTTCTGCAGTCCTCTAGGCTAGTCTGAAACTTGTGGGAATGTGCTTGAGAAGGAGGTTTAAGTTGCCCTGCAGAGATACTAATTCAAGTTGATTCTGTTTTCAAAACTCTTTGTATGGTTTTTATGTCAGTGCTGACTCAATCATTATCAACACCAGCCTCAAGGTGGTCTATACGATACATATACACACCAAACCTTTCTGGTGACTGTATGTATCATAAATAAGCTAAAGCAAATAGGTGATTTTTTTCATTGGCAATTTTCTGACCATGCTTTAGTTTTTCAGCATCTAAAATAGGTTTCATAGTCTCAATGTTGCCTATCGAAGGGGCCTTAAGAAAATGAATGAGCATTTATAAACTCTTTAAGATCCTCATTGCAACATTGCTGTAAAAATGCAGTATATCATGACTGCATAGCTATGTTAAATTTTCCTCTGACTTTGTCCTATTTATTTTCAGAACATGCTTGAAGAACTAGTAATTCATAAGCCAGATGATCCCATTCAGTATATGATAAACCATTTAAAGCAGAACAACGATGATGGTAAGTGAGAATTGAAACATCTTCAATTCCTTATTTGTAAACAGCTGTTTGAAAGCTGTGCTTCAGTTGGCAATTGATGGATAAAACTTTTCAGACTGTGTCTTGAGGGGAAAAAAAAAAAAAAAGAAAAAGAAAAAGGTGAACATTTTGGAATAGTTATAGGTAAGATGCTTTTAATTTCTTTTTTTAGTGGGTAATCTAATAAAAAATGCACTTTAACAGTTATAACAATGAAACCCTCTAAGGGAATAACAAAGAGTTCTAGTGTATCAATTATTAATGCGTTCTGTGCCCCATCTGATATTTCCTGTTGTCTTTAAGCTCGCTAATTACTCCTTTTGTCAGGTGTAAATTTGGTTTCCTATTCTACCTGGGCTGGCAGATTCTCTGTTTTTTGATTAGTTAGTTACTAGTTGCTGTTAATGAGTTCCACTGCTCAGTGGCATCTCAGATGAAGGAACAGTGAGCATGCCTACTTGTATGTATAACAAAACCTGGTAAATTGAATAGGAAGTCTGTATTCCGCACAATAAAAGCGTGTACACTCAATCAAATTATTTGATTTACAAACTGTTCACCCTTAGGCAGATTATATTTGGATATGCACAACTGAACTATAATTTTTGTTCTGCATGAGCTGTCAGGGATAGCTGGTGTCATGTTGCTTTGATGTTTCTTTAAAACCATAGTAAACCATTATGAAAGTTCTGCTGCAGCATCGATGAAATCATTATCACTGGAGGTGCTGTGAGCTCTTAGTGGTGGTGATCAGATGGATGTTGATTGAAATGCTGTTAAATATTAAAAAAAAAAAAATCAAATCCTGCAAATTGTGTCCAGCCTTTTCTGATGCAGGCAGCATGAGTAATCAATCTGTTTTATAGACCCCTTGGAAAATATGCAGAATTTCATGCTGTTTGATAGAATGCTGATGAAATTTCTTCACATTGAGCTAATATTTGTCCTTAAGCCTCACAGTATTATTTGAACAGAATTAGGCAGGTTTCCATTTCATGACTTCAGTACTTAGAAGCTAAAGATAGAACTACAGCAGTTGTTTGTCAACGGAAAAATGCTGTCTGGTTTTGGTCTGGAAAAACCTACTAAGAAAGGGAAGGAACTCCAATTAAAATTAAAGCCTAAATGTTGTTTTAAGAATAAATTATATGGAAAATAATGTAACAGAAATCTGTAGCAGAGTTGATTTTACTTTTTGATCATGGCGGAAGGTGCTGACTATTTAGAAGCAAAAAAAAACCTTATTAGAGCCATCAGTAAAGTGATGAATTTTCATGATCTTGCCTTGCTAGACAGTTTTAGCCCTAGAGAAAATTTCAAACAGAGATGTGTGGAAAAGAAGCATTGCATCTATCCCAGGTGTAAAGTTAGAAAACCTTTTTAATTAATAATAGGACCTAAAGTACTCTTAAAAATATAAACAAGTCTAATGATGATTATAGCTTACAACTGTCTTGAAAATCTCATAGGTCAAATGTGCGGCTAAGTGTGCTTGAGGCTCTGTTCTATTGTTCTTTCATGCGATCCTTCTAAAAGCCTTAAAGACCCATATGAAGACTGATAATTCTTTCATATACAGAGATGCTAGTTTCTCTACATTGTATCTTGGTTTGTGCTAATAAAAAAAGCTTTTGGGATCCAAGTGGCATTTCTGTGAATTCTTCCTTTACAGTCAAACCTCTGAAGAAACGTAAGAAAGTTCTGCAGGAATGTTCATCATGTACTATGTGCTTTTCCTGTTTGACAAAGGATTTCTCTTACAAGTTAAGCAAATTTTGTCACGTTAGTATTAATCGTAGAATCTTTTGGACTTAAATGGAACTCAGTGAGTCCAGCTGTTCTTTTGTGTTATTCCAGGATTAATTTTGTTATTATTAAAATCATTGTTGAATGCTAAAACTTACTTTACTTGGAAGAGTAAATCCTGTAACATCTGATCAAGACTAAACATGGAATGAGATATGATTTGTTACTGAAGAAAAAGGCGTTTTCTAGACTTTCCTGACTTCGTTTCTCTGCTGGTTCAGACCTCCAGCATTAAATACTGACTATTTGCTGATTGGAGGGGGTTAAACATTACATACAGTGGTGTCCTGGTTGTGCCCCTGTGTCATATGTTTAGGGAGAATGCTTTACAGGAGTCTTACAAGTGTGCAAATGAGTAAATCAGTGAATTACACTGCCCCATCTGCTGCCAGCCACTAAGCAGAGAGAAAAACAGATTTAGTACAAAGTGAGCATTTACAGTAGCCCTGGGCAATATTAAAGCATGATATGGTGTATATAATGGTATGTTTCGTTTTTTATCAAACGTTTGTCCAAGAAAGCTGTGTATTAAAGCTTCAATACCTAAGGGTTTTCTTGTGAATTTTAAATCATGCTCCTAGTTAAACCTCAAAAGGATCTGTGGATGGAAAGGTTTTTTGATTTTCTTTGAAGTGGTTTGAAGAAGTTGATTAGTGTTGGCACCCGAGCACTCTTTTATGACGCTGTTTATAAATAATTCCTAAGTACCGGGCTGGAGTTTCAAGGTGTTAGATTAAAAAAAAACCCTAGGATTTAATCACATTACATTTGAAAGAAATTAGGTGATAAAAACAGCTGATGTATCCTTTTAAAGTATTTTTCTACATTGTGTACTAGTTCTGTTGCATTTGCAAGAACCAATAAGGGGGGAGCTTTTCTTAAACCTTCCAAGTCAGATAACTTTGTAAAGATGAATCTGTAATTTGGGTTTCATGTACGTTTAAAAATTGCACCTGCCCAATAACTGTTAAGTGCGTGGAAGGCCTCATAAAAATACATTTCACATCCTTCCCTGTCTGCTGCCATCAGACACTGTATCTCCCTTGGTTATCAAGAGCTGAAGAGGTTTTTGGGTGAGTAGATCCCTCCTCTGTTTTGACCTATGTTACTCCCAGTAAATACTCATCAGTCCCTTCTGTATATAGTCTGTTTTGGTTTAGTTTTTTCCCCTGAGGTTTAGGGGGAAAAACATCAAAGATGTTAATACAAAATGACAGCTCAAGGGATTGCAGCCCAAGGTGTGTTCACGGAGAAAGTCCCACATACTTTCCTAAGAGTTACTCCATTTTCCCTTGTTTGTCTTGCCTCTAATTCATTCCCAATGAAGCTTACAATGGTAATGCCTATTGTGTTGTCTGTATGCATTAGATGAAGAATTCCTCAGAACTGCGATGCATTTTTCCCATCTTGCCCCCTCGGGGAAAGGAAAGGGACATGCAGTAGAGAAACACAAGATACAGAGACAAAGAAAATTGCTTTTAATGACGACTAGAAAAATTGAAGGTAGCTGTCAAAAAGGGTAGAGAGAGAGTGCTTAGTTCTTCAATATCTAAATCTTCTCTGAACCCTAACACAACCTATTTAGATGAAACTGAAAAGTGAAATTGCATTTTTTGTGATGAGAGCCAAAAGCTTTGCCACAGTAAAAAGTATTTTTACTACCATACTGTGTAAGAGAAACGAGAGATGATCTCAGGAAGTCCCATCCAATCTCAACTATTCTATGATTATGACAATAGTCACTTTTAAATAGTGTGTCCTGCATGTACAAGCTAAAATATTTTTTTATCACAAAATGTGTTGGGTCTAAATCAATGCTTTGGGAATAAAAGTCAAATGCAGACAAGGAAATGTTCATATCTTATCCTCTGGTTCACCCACTAAACTATCAATGTGCTTAAATGGATTGAGAGAGAGAGATGCTTAAGTGGCATGTTTAGTCAGAGTATTAATCTCATTGACCGTGGAGATTAAAGGAAGACCCAGCTGTCACTGACTTAGTGTTTCCTCTTTTTTCACCCAGTGGAGCCCAGTCCCAACGTCTCCATTCAGGCAGATTTCCAACTGAAATAATTGTTTCATTTTGATTACATTTATATTATGCAATGCAATAGTGGGAAACTGGTTGGGATTTTTGCTGTTCTGCATCTTGACATTCACATGTTCTTGTTTCATAGCTCCAAGAATTTGTGTACTTGGTCCACCTGCGTCTGGGAAAACTACAGTTGTAAGTATGCTACCTTCAAAGTTATGATACTGTCCGGTTACCTTTTTACTTTCCACTGAGATCAGGACTTGTGAAAATTTTATTCTGAGAAAATCATTTTCAGAATTGTCAAAGTGATAGAAGAGCACAAGACAAGTTGAAGGGTGGCATTCCGAAGGGGTATGCCTGTGTATTACACTACAGGTTAAATGGAAATGTTCAAGTGAGCTCTGCGAGAACTTGCTCAGGTAGTGGTAGTGATACTGCTGTAATGCAACAGAATTCTGCCTGCCTTTTTTCCCCAGCTTTCTAGCAGGACCAATTAACCTGGGAGGAGTACCTAGTAACGCATTTGGGGTATTCCAATATTGTGGATTGCTTCATTTGCATGGCCAGTTGTCTGTCATGTGCACTGGTACTGGTTAATTGAAAATGTCAGAGTTGTATTTGAACTGCAGAGAAAGCTGACCACAGAAACTTTGCAGATGATGGTGGTGTGTGCACACTAGGAAGAATGTTTTCTTCTTTAAAATCTCTGTTATAGTACAGTAGATTAAAAAGACCTTATTCAAATCTGTAAGCTCTCGAACATCTTTGTAAGAAACTGCTTAAAATTACACAGATAGTCTGTTTACTTAAATGGAAGGCTAGGAAAACACTCTCTGTCTTTCTGCAGCCTTCTGAAAAAATGCTTCATTTTCTTTCCAAACATTTTGACCTGTAATTTTTTTCTTCTTCTTCCCTCAGGCAATGTGGCTTTGTAAACATTTGGATGCCATACGTATCTCTCGGGAGACTTTGTTATTCAAGGAAATATTAGCGCTGACAAAAGAAGCAAAGGCATATAAAGAAAGAAAGCAGGTGTGTAAAAGGGTATAATAATAGTAGTTCTCATGTCACAGAAGAGGAATTATATGGCATTCCTATGATTTCCGCTGCTATGAATTGAGCAGATCAAGAGTAAATATTCTTACATCTATGGTGGTTTGTACATTGGTTTGTGTATATGTAGGTACAGGGCCTTTCAGAGAAGAAGGGTAACCTCTGCTGGTTAAGAAGATATGAACAAAGATAAAAATGTGTCAGGGCATAGAACGGGGGCAGGAGAGGAAGACAAAGTAATGGAGGTCTTGAAAACATTGACCTTAGACATGAGCAACAGAATTGAGAGAAGTCCAGGTATGCACACTACAATTTGAAGAACGGTTCATTATATCATTAAACAAAGCATCTTCTATTTCAGCATGTTTGATAATCTCAATAAAATAAGCATTAATCTCTGAGGTCTCCTTCGGTACAAAATGCTCTGGAAAATATGTACACAAAGAACTTTTTTTGATCTGACAGAGCTACTTAGTTGTGCGTGCTTGATTTCTCTGTAGCATGACACAAATAACTTACTTGGTGCATTAACTCAAAAGCAGTATGACAATCCAGTCAGTTATTAAAAACCCTAGAAGCTCTCAAGGTGAGGCAATAGCAGCCAACTCGGGAGATCGTTCAGTTCTTGGGTTGATGTGCTCTACCCAACTCTGAGTACCTGGTTTGCTCCAGACAGGTTTTTAAATCCTTTCATGCTTCATTGTGGGCCTCCTAACTAATGTTCAAAGGAGTTGGTCCAAAGAACATTTTTTCCAGATGTCATGACTCACAGGATAAGTTGATCAGCGATGTAATTGTCTTGCTATTAAAGGCTAGTGACAAGCAGATTGGAAAAATATGTTGAAAGAATATCCTGAATACACAGAAGCATCTCTGCTTCTGATTCCTGCCCTTTTAGCTGATTCCTTTCTCCAGATGTCACGGTGTTCCATGAATAATAGAATGGGAGAAGTCTGGTTTTCTGTGTCTCTCTCTAGCAAGTCCACTAGTCTGAGTTTCTCTTTTCTCCCTCATCACCTATTTTCATAAAAATTGAAGCAATTTCATTTCCCTAAGAATTCTACACCGCTGCTAAATTTGATTGAAAATGGCCAGCAGATTCATAATTTGCTGAGACAGTAGATGGTGTGATACATAGTTTAATTTTTTTTTTTTTCCTTAGAAAACTAGGCTGAAAATAGGGTAGTGTTTATTACACTGGATTAGTGAATGAAGTTGGGAGATGCCTCGAGTAATATACTTAAAGATCTGAGAGGAAAGAACTCACTGAACTTACTGGCAAAAGGGTTTACTTTTGACTGGGATGATATAAAATGATTCTTATCGAGAATATGTACTTTGAAATCTTTGTGCTAATTATTAAAGATTGTTCTGCTAGATTCATAAATTTCAACTTAGAGGGGGAGAATTTAAAACAAAAATTCCCTTTGGTTTAATTACTGTAATTATTAACATATTTCAGACTATACAGATGCACTTTCAAGGGTGTCCTTTTGGGCTTATTTGATTTAAAAAGATGGATGGTATGGAAGATGAAAGTCAAAAATGTCAAGGCTAATCAGGTAGTAAGGAGTGCCCAAAGAGCAAAATCTGGTGGTGGTTGAATACTGTGCAGTTTGCCTTTTGTTTTTGAGATGTTAGATCCTAGAAGAACGTTTTCACTAAATCATTTCTTTTGTTCTTTTATATGAGTTTGATTCTTCAAATGTAACTCCTAAAACTAGGAGGGAACTCCTTGCTTCCTCTTAAGTAGTGCAAGCTTTACAATGACTTAAAATGTAGCCAAATTGTCATCACGAGCTATATTTTCCCTTACTGATTAATCTCTGCTGGCTAAATCTACTTTTGCCGTAACTGACCCCTGGTTCTGCTGAAGTGAGTGGTAAGCTTGACTCCTCTAGCATACGTAACATCCATTAGCGCTAATAGGGTTTGAATGTCTATTCAGGAGCAAAACAATAGCTGTTTATACTGTCTTTGATACAACCAGGGCATTAAAAAGTTGTAGTCCTGGCCAAAGCAATTTAATAAATGGAAAGAGGAAAAGCAGGAACTAAGACTGTGTTTTTGAAAATCTGGTGTGAAGATCATGTAACACAATTTAATGTTGTTAGAGGACCGTTTCGTGTGTATAAGGTTACTGTGGCTGAATTAACCCCGGTGCCAAAGGTTGTTAATTTTTAGGTCAGTAGGCCAATGTTACTAGATCTGGACAAATGCTGCAAAAAGGTCCGCAAATATTTGTTCACATAGTTTACTTACTTATCTTTAGGCAAGCTTTCATCTCTTTTGTGTTCACTTCCAGTGCACGTTAAAGCATTTGAGTTTTCCTGGCACAAGAATTCATGGAAGGCGCGTATTGAAAATGTGATTATTCTCTGAAGCTCTAGTTTTAAAGTCGGACATGCAATCATTCACTAACACATACCTGGCCACTTACTAATGAGCACAGCTCAGGTAGTGAATTTTAAATATTGACTGTTCAAAGCAAAATGTGATCATTCTGCATGTAAAAATATTCCAAAAAGAAGTCAAATATTTTTGAATATTCAATAAATTTGAAGAACCATGAGCTATCAATAAATATTCCATGAACAGAAAAAGAGGCTACATTTTTGGATAAATCATTGCAAATTATTCCCTCATCTCTAGTTATTATAAAGTTAATAGGAAGCACCTTCAGGTTTTTCCTATAGTGAAGTCTAATGATGAGCTATTGCATGTTTCACTTTTCCTGTAACTGGATAAAATAAGAAGTTGAAACAACTGTGGTAATTGTGGGCTTATGGGATGGGTGTGCTCTTAATGCTATACTAAATTGTAGTTAAGGTGTTTGCATACTATGTAATGACTTAGAACTACTCTACAGTTGCATCATATCCCCATGCTTTTTAAGAAGAAATACAATAGAAGAGAGGAAAACCAAAGGCGTCCTTATCTATGCATGTTCAGCATTCTAATTGTTTCAGGACAAGCCACTACAAAAGAACAAATAGGAACTGTTCCAGTCTTGTGTATACCTAAAAAATCCCAGCCTTTCATGTGTATTTATCTGAACAAGCTATATCCAAACATTCATGATTTTCAAAATACTAAGTCCAATTTCTTCAAACATGACTGCTTTTTGCTCTGAGGTGCAAACTATAAAGCAAACTAAGAAATTTTTAACTGCAGCTGTTTTCAGGACAAATACATCCAAAACTTCCAATGGAAATGTCTAAGGAAAGTGCTCCCCCTGCCCTGGCAACAAAAAGCATAGCAGTTTTATGAAAAGATTGCAAAAACATAACTCTGAGTAGATCAGGCATGTAAGATGAAATATGATGTCCCTGAAATAACATGGAATGTTTAAAATTAATCAGAAATGAGTACAGTTTTTCAGCAGTATGGAAATAGTGATTAAACCGGTGTGTATAGAAAAGTGGTCTGAACATAAAATACCGCAGCAGGTCTTTCCATTAACTAAACTGGATTTTGGGACAGGCTCAGAGTGCCTTAGATAAGATACAGTTCTGCAGTTATCAAATGTATGTGTATCACTGTCCGTTACTGCAGATTTCTGAGAGGTGAAGTCCCATCCACCAGGCTCATGACATATTTATGTGAGCGTTTATGAGAGAGAAATTACAACTGTGCTATCTGATATTTATCAAATGTAATGATTTCTAGTTGAATAATTAGGCATTCTATGAGCAACCTATTCAAAATGATTTTGTAGGCCACTGCTCAGTAGGAGGAAAACTGACCAGGAAATGAGACTGGAATTGAGCCACAGAGAGCAGAAGGAACTAAAACACTGAAATACCTGCGTGTGTGTCCTTGATTGTTTTTGTGCAATAAACCCTGCTCAAAAGAGAGGACTAAGAATACCACTGCACTGAAAGAAGTTAGTATAATTTTGGTTTAAATTGGTTTGGCAAGGCTTAGCAGAGTGGACCCCCGGCAGTCACTAGCCTGTCTTGACATGACACATCAAAGAAGCAAGCAAGACGCTAGCTGTTTCTGCTAGCAGCGTGATGCACCTTTGCAAGGTGACAGACTCAAAGCCACACACCCAGGCTCCAGCAGCGAGAGCCTGCAGGAGGCTTTGACGCACCACCCTATGGGACCTGCTGACTTCCAAGAAACACAGCAATTTCTTTCCCTTTTTCTCTTTTACCTGCTTGAATGTTGCCTTGTGAATGGCTGATATTGGGAAAGGCACTGAGAACTGGGGACAGTAGAGATAAATAAAACAAGAAAATCCACTGCCTGACTGGGCCACCTTGTCCGTTCCACAGCCAGCCGAGGACTGGTCTCTGCGTATTCTGGAGAGCTTGCTCCACTCTAAGTGACTTGTGTGGTAGCATTTCCACCACTCCTGATGAAATTGTTTCAAGATCTAATGAAGAAGATTGTTATGAAATCTTTCCGCATAGTCACATTTTCATTATATCTGTCTACATTCTTTAGTATAATGTAAGCCTGCAGAAATACTGGTTTTTTATGATTATGCCCTTCAGACTGTTTGGTTTGAAAAAGAGATGGGAACCCACAATATATGGAACGGCGTGGAGCAAAGAGCCGAGCTCACATCGTTCAGTGAAAGATAATTTTTTGACTTGGGAAGTAGAGAATCTGACTGCAGATTTTTTTCCGAGTATTCATTTTACCAGTAACGACAAAATTAATGAGTCTGAGACAAGGCATTTAGTCAAAGGATTAACGGCTGCTCTGACTGGCATGGCCAAAGGCTTAGACTTTATCAATTTTAACTGCTTAATGTAGAGTTTGTTCAACCAAGTTCAGCATAGAATGAAGGCCTAAATTAACAATATAGTGAAGAAAATTCTTACAAGAAGGAAAGAAGGGTATTGGTAATTTCTTGTGAGGAAATCTAATACAATAATGGAAGGAATATTATGGGGGGGAAAAAGTGCTAAATCTGGAGAGGAACTTTGTTCTTCTGTCAGGTAGCAAATAGCATCTTACAAAACATCTCTAGATATGGACAAAGTAATAGTCACAGAAAGAAACAGCACTTCTGAAAATCTTGGCACATGAAGTTTCAATTGCATTTCACAGTCCGAGTTTAAAAATAAACTAACTTTAGCATTAAAATTAACTTTAACATTAAAATGTACTTTAAATAAACTTTCTGGATGATGAAAAAGTGAGAGTTACTTGAAACTATGAAACGAATCTCCTGAAGATCAGACTCTTTCTGTTATTTGCTCTGTGGTTGAGATTCTGCTTGTCTCGCAGGATAGCCGTTAAGATCACTAATGCTGAGTCCACTGACATACGAAGCAGTGGTGGGTCAGATACTTGTGCTAAAAAGGACTACTTATGGATGTGATGTTCTTATGGATCCCTTTGCAGGTTTGATGTCCAATGTGTGTGTTAGTGTGCAAAACTTGGCACCGCTTCCATGTTAGTGTGCAAAAAGCATGGATGTAGCCTTTGTGTTCAGCTTACCTTTAACACTGATTTTTGTACCTTTATTAACTCTCTGATATATTATGTTAATGACTTGGGACTTGCACAGATTTTTTTAATTTATTTTTAAGACGACATCTCAGTTCACCTTTAACCGGAATATGCCTGCATGGTAAAATTCCTTTTGAACTCAATTGTGAATATTCAGCCTTTTTTTGTTCTTTCTTTAGAAAATTCCCAACGCGCTTTGGGCCAATCTGATCCAGGAACGTCTGTCAAACGTGGACTGCATCAAACAAGTAAGAATTGCTCCTCAGAGGGCCGGTGGATAAGCACTTACACAACTCGTGCATAGTAGTTAGCATTCTGAGTCCTGAGCAGAGGAGGGAATGGGGGCAAATCATTGGGGGCTCTGGAGCGGATTGCTTTCTTGAACATCAGCAGAGGGAGTTTGGAGCTTTATTAACAGGATAAAGGGGAGGATGAGAGTATGCATATGCTAATCTTCTAGCACAGAGATGATCAAAGGCTGAACAAGCATAGCTTTGTTGATTGCCTGGGGCAACTGGCAGAGTTATAGTGGACAAAACAGATAAACAGAAAATATATAAAAATCAATATGTTAAGATTTTAACTCTTATTGAGGAAAGGAGGAAAAGAGTCTAACACTATTCATATCATTTTTCTTTATTTCTCATTGTGTCTTTTTTTCTTCCTGTTTTATGAAAAACTGCATTTGCGTATATTCTCTTCTAGGTAATAATTAATATATTCACTGTTAGTTGACACAAATAGGCAACTGAATAGGTTTAGCTGTATTCACTGATGTGTGCCTTTCCCCCTGCCCTGTGTGCTTAGCCTTAATGTAAGTAGAGACTTTTAACATAGAACCAAAAGAGAACTTAAGTACATTAATATTGGTAGAAATTAATGTCTGGACTCAAGTAAAGCAAAATCTCTTTTATGTATTTCCTTTAAAATCTCAGATGTTGTTATGGTTTATTGAGTCCATAATCAGTCCAGTAGAAGGGATTATTTGTAAGAGACATACTAATCTAATGGATAAAACCCTGTCTCTAAACAGTACCAAAATAAGGACTGCAGATTATTTGATGCACTTCTTGAGAGAAGTCCAGTCCAAAGTAGGTGTTACATTTATGAAGGACTAAACAGCTTTTTTCAGATAAATAGTATGTGTTTTCAGAACGGTCACTCTGTCACACACATACCTTTGGGTCAGGGGATAACTAGTACTTCTTGACCTCATAGAGATATTGCAAGGCTCATAGTTTTATTAAAATCTGTTGCTGCTTCTCATCATCATCATCATCTATCTTGTTGGTTGAATAAAGCAGGACTGGTAATTAACATTTCATTGAAGTGTGAAAATTGCTTCCTAAAGCTTCTTAGCATTAGGCACTGAAAGAAACTGGAAATGCTGACAATTTTGTCTTGTACTTCTTTTTCTGTCTCTGTGATTTTTGGTGTAGTCTGCAATGATCTGCAGACTGAATCCTTCCATCCATGTAAAACAAAATCGTCTTGGGGGCTGAGCCATTGCCTTGTAGTTCTTAAGATGGTAATTCTGTAGCACAGAGGTGTCTATAAGTGCAGAGAAACATCAACAAAACTAGCAAGAATAACTGAAAACATTTTCTGCCCCTGATTTTGAAGGTTTAGGCTTTTAGAACTTGGGTAATGTGAATGATTGCCAAGGAAGTCTCCATGTGCTTCAGTGCAAAGTCAACTATTTTAGGTTAAGCCACTGATGGAAGTGGCTTTCAGTGGTCCTGCCTTCTGTAAGCTAGATCAGATGGTCAATTACAGTATATGAACTGTGGAAAGAATAACTTGATCAGGATGGTAATGAATAGCTGGAGATGTAATCTTTTAAGTTGTTCCTGCCTGAGAGGTTTGCTAGAGGACGTGTCTGTGTCGTATTTCTGTTGCAAGCATATAGCTGTAGCAAAGTAGGCAGTATGCCGGTCTCTTTAAGCAGGAGCTTAGAACTGGTAGTAGCTAAATGTCGACTTACTCCATTATGTTATCCACTGGTTGCTTGAGAATTTAATTTAGAATACTACCTGTTGGTGTTTAATGCTACCAAGAAAAGTAATTAAGCTAAACCAAACCTTTCCTTGCCCAGCTAATCTTGTTCTTTTGCCAGGTCATAGAAAAGCACGTGACAGTGCCCTTATTTGCATGACAGTGCCCTTATTTGCATTGGGAATTATCTTGTTATAAAAGTCCTTTTCCATCAGTAGAGAAAGCTCTGAAAGAGTGAAAATAAGTTAATGTGGGTGATTTTTGAACAATTCATTGCATTTTTAGGTACATCCAGTTTAACAAGAGACTTACTGTAACAAAAATCTGGGGTGCATTATTGGGTCCCATACATATTTGCAAATGACAGTGTAGGGCTCCTCCTCCCTCAAAGAAATGTGAGCAATTGTTTTTATGAAGGGAAATTCATGAAACAGAAACCTAGCTCATCCCTAAATTAGTCTAGATTTATACCAGATATAAATCCCATTGACATTTGTTGAGTTGAATTCCTGCAACTTTGGAGTAACATAGTTATGAGTTGGACCCTGCGCTGTTAAACTACACCAGTATTTGCTTTCATGGGGAATTACCAAGATGTTAGGATTTTTAAATGTACTGGCAACTCTAAACTGCAAAGTATGGATTTTTCTGATGCCCACTCCTGCCTTCTTTCTACTTACTGTGAACTAATAAAATCTACTTCACTGTGTAGATAAGACAGGTTTTGGGCAAAATGCACACTGCTGTTAGTTCAAGCTCTTATTTTCTTCCTAAACCTTGCTGTTGTTTCTCTTTGAATTCCCTTCCTACACTGGTATGATCGAGGCGTGGGAAGACTGTGGAAGAGTTTTCTAGTTCATTATGTATAAGGACATGACCCCCTCCCCTTCTTTTCCAAATGGACCACTTTTTTTTGTGTTTTAGGATCCTGTGTTTCTTGCTCCATGCTTTATCACCTGGGATATTGAAGCAATGATTTTTGGATCCTTAGCAAGAAAGGAGTAAAGAGATTGGCAGAAAACCTAAGGGTTATCAATTTTTCTCTACAAAATACTGTACACCTTACTCCATAATTGATCTATTAATTTTAAATTTGCAAAGTAGAATTAAACTTTTGCATTGCTTGTCACTGTGCTTGCATTATATGGGTCTGTCTGGTTTCCCTTGAAGGTCTTTTTAGCTGACCTATTTTATTTATTTATTATTTAGCACTCCAGATCAAATATCTGGTAGTATTTAATGTATTTGTTTATCTGTACTAAATTGACACAGGACTTAGGCCTTTCAATTTGCAGGAGAACCTGTTTAAAAACACACATGTGGTGTACCGTCTTGTTCATTTTTGTGGCATTTTGAATTAAAGAGTGTAGCTGAGGAACACTTGAGAAACCAGTATTGTCAGCTCTGGATATACGAGCAAATGAGCAGCAAAAAAAGACCATGACTGTCAACATTTTTTATGTAAGCAGTGCAATGAGATATCATGGATATACAGCAAGTCAGGTGATTGTATGATTTACTACCTTGTCCTTGTGGCAAGATGTGGAACATCTATCTCAAGTGAAACTTCTCCTCGAGTATGTTTAAAATCTTTAAACCTGTAGAAATGAAAGTAAGTTAGAAAGATGATAAACCCAAGAGTGAAACTGCTATTCTGACTGCTAGCTGCTAGTCTTTAGGCTGGTTTCAGTCCCCAAACACAGCCCCCCTCAGCATAACGCTAACAGCTTCTCTGGTTGTACTACTAGTAGTTAGCAGGTGGGATAGGGAAGATGCCAGGGTACACCTGGTATTTTCAATAGTTTCGGTTAAATAATTTTTTCTCATCATCACTCAAAGGTAGTAGTTGCTGGGGCAGTCTGTCCTCTAATGCTGTCTGGAGGAGAGCTGTTGGATGGCAGTAGTTGCTGTAAACTAGCAAGTAGGTGAATAACTCTTCAGTTTAGGGATTTTATAACAGTAGCTCCAAAACCTCTCCAACGTGCTTATTTTTTCACATAAGTCTCTTTGCCTGATTAAAAGATGGTATGTTTTCAACAGCTATTTTTTCCAGTGTTTGTTGTGGTATCGCTAAAGTGAGTTTTGCTAACCATCAGTGTGTAAGCAAAATCCATTGCTCTCCAAAGGCTGCACCCACCCTATGCTTTTTTTTGGCCCATTCTTTCTATAATTGTTGGCATGGTTCTAGTTCTCCTTTTAATAGCAAGGGAAGGATCTCTCAGCGACTGTTATTTTAAGTATTAGGTCAGGTAAACTCTGAGTAAGGTGACGAGATGGTTAAAATGCCAACAGCTGCATAGTGTCCTGCCTACATTTTATGTTCCTGTTGTTATCACCAGCAACACTGAATCAGTGCTGGATGTGTTACAGAACTAGGGGGAAAAAAACCTTTATAAAGCTTCCCTGACATTCAGCAAGAATGGTCTATTGGTCTAGTTATGTGTTTTTGCCTAAAAACAGCTGAAACCTTAATTGACTTTTCAAAGTTGTGATGGTTATTAAAAATCTTCTCATTAATAGATAGTAATTCATGGTCACTAAAACTTCCTCACGTTGTGTATGTGTCTTCCATTTGAAAGGGGATCTATGCTTTTTAATTGCAATATTTTCCTTGTGTGATTGGAAATAGAATTAATACTGTGGATTTTGTACTCATTGAACGGATTTATGCCATTTCTCTCAAAGCATGAGTCAGCATTTTTTCCCCCCTAAGAATGTTAATAGATTAGGAGTAGTATGTTGGACCATAGTACCACCAGCTGTTTGTTTTATTTCTCCTTGTGGTGTCATTGGCTTGGCATTAATTGTACAGCTTTCATCCCACTGACAGTAGGAATACAGAATTTTTTGTGCTATTGTTTTGACACTCACAGGTTTATAGATGTCACAGGCATTCTCTAAGGAGAACATTTTTATTGATCAACAGCTCTGCTGAGGCTCTGCGTTGTGTGTTCTTCTAACACAAATGTAGTTAGGACTGCAAGGGATGAGACAGGTAGGTGTTCCAGCATACACAGAAAACTTATGGCAAGCGTTATGTTAGAACCTGGGACTTGTGAAGCTGATATGAAGACTTTTCATCTTACAGGGTTAGTACATGTGGGCTATGGCGCCTCTGACTGCTGGTGTTGTGGAGGGAATTTATAGAACTAGGGAAGGCTAGTGACGAAATTGCTACATGATGAACTTGTGAGAGAGCAAGCTGAGCAACCTTACTCATGTCTTATGACCATTCAGAAACTAAGCTTAGGCCAGTGATTCACATGAGTAGTGGCAGAATTATTTTGATTGGTATTAAACCATTCAGAAGGGTAGTGGCTATCCTTGAAATGGAAGACAAAGAGAGCAATGGCTATTGGTTCTTTTTTATTTTACCTTGGCAGATAAAGATCATCATGTTGTCTCTGTGAAACTCCATGCAAGGATAGTGATGTTACACAGATTTATCTGGGGAGAGAATCTGTCTATTCAGCATCTTTTTTGTTTTCCAAGAAGAGTGTGGCTTTTTTTTTTTAATAGCTTTGCAGCTTACTCAACCTACAAAAATAATGTGGGGAATAAAAGGTTTCTTTCTAATGGGAAATTTGGCAAAGTTGGAGCTTCTTCCATCATCCATGTGCTAATGTTGATGGACTGCGGGAGTTGGGTTGACAATATTTCTACTGTACTTGTCAGTCTGCTGTTTTCTGAAAATCTCAGACATTTAAGATCCATGCTGGCAAAGCTATTGCTAAAATTATTTTTTTGTATTATTGTCTGTCCCCTTTCTTCACATGGGAGTGAAAGGCATGTAATACTTTTTCAAAAATACTGAATGATGATGTGGAAAAAACGTTTTGATGAGCCATTTTCCTAAAGGCAGCAGTATTCATGACCTTTGATTTTTATGCTTGTGGCTGAGATTTCTTTCAGATGTGCCACGTAATTCAGCATTATTTCTTTGTGCTATCCCTTTTCATTATTCTAAGGCAGTGTCAATTTTGATTCTGTAATTAAAAAAAAAAAAACACATTGAAACTGTGCAGGTCAAGAGAGAGAATAAGAGAGAAATGAATACCCAAGTCATTATTATTGGGGTGGAAAGTGTGAAAGTATGTAGGCTTGCTGTTACAGCTGAGAGTAGTGCCGGCAAAGGAATGAGATTTACATTTGGGAATGACCTTGACTGTTTCCTTTTCTCCAGATTGCTTAAATCTGAAGAGGAAAGTGATGGCTTTGAAAGTGCTTCCTTGTTGCTGACTTTCAGCATGGCATGAATCTCTAAGGAGCACTTCACCTGGCATTAAGGCAACAGCAGAATGCTGTATTTACAGCAGTCTTCACGTGGGAAAGGATTGAGGTTTCCAGCTGAAAGAGAGGGAACAGTGACCACAGAGTAAAGGCACTGTGGAATTACTCACTTTTAGCCTTTGTTCCACCCTTGATGTGATAAGGTGCAATCCATGCATGGATGTAAGTTACTGCTATCAAGAACAAAAAATAGAGGGCTTCTTAAAGAAACAAATTTACCATGTGAAGTTACTAATTACACTTTAATGATAGTCAGGAGGGCAAAAAAGACCAGTGTTTGCATAAAGCATGATAGGCATATTTTAAGTCAGGTCTTGCTCTGCTGTGTCTTGCTTCCTCTTGCTTCGTTCCCAAGCCACACTCCCTTTTTACTCTTTTTTTTTTTTCTTTTTCTTTTTTTTTTTTTTTTTTTTTTTTTTTATTTTAATCTGTGACATCTGCTTGGAGCTTGTCCCTCCTGTGATACCATACTACTTGCAGCTGTTCAGACCTCCAGCTCTGAGCTGTGCATGGGGTGCCCTGAGCATACGGCCTTTTTGATGTGTGATAAAACAGAACCAAGCCACTGGGGGTATGGAGAGGGAATGCAGCAGAATATCAATAAACCTGTTCTGAACAAAGCTGCAGCTCTGTGGTGGAATAGACATTTCACTGAAGTGTCAAGTAGATGGATAATGTATTCTAATTAGGAACTGACTGATACCCTGGAACTCGGAGACCTTTGGAAATAAGATCCAAAATGCTAACTGTTTTTGTAGTGTGTATTTATTTTGCATTTTTTAATGCCTTAAAACGTATTTTTTGCAGGAAGCTATTTATTGAGCTATGTTTTTTTACATTGCAAAAACTTTTAGCTATAAAATTGCTTATTGCTTGTTTTAAGGACCTTTGAAATTTGAATATAAACCTCTTGAATTTTTCTACATTTTCTTAAAAAACAATATTCCGTGTTTACTGCTTGTTGCTCGGTATGTGATTTTGAGCAAAAAGCTGTACTGACACCAGAAGCAATGGTTTTGTGGGGTGGTTTTTGTTTGTTTTCTTTTAGTTTCCAAAAGTGTTTTACTTGGAGTGGAGAAAGCCAGATCTGTAGTCTGTGTAAATTGGCATAGATTTATTGACTTCAGACCTCTGATGCCATTTCTCCCTAGAAGAGGATCTGGGCCTATATATATGTGTTGTACAGGCACAATATATTCAGAACTAGTGCTGAAGTTCCTAGCATGCTGCTAAAAATATTGTGCAGGCTTGCCCCCTGCAAGTCCCAAGGGGTAAATTGATTTCTCAGCACCTGTGTGACCTTAGACAGTGGTTCATTCTAATTCGATAGAGCAAACACTGAGAGTGGCAAAAATGGCTTGCAGTTACTTGAGTCTCTTATTTTCCTGAAACCAGGCTAATTAAGGAATTTTAAATAGTCTACTCTATTTTCTTGTATAATTGGAATGTCCCAATTTCCTCCCACAGAAGTCATGGAGATATGTTTCCCTGAAATACTTCTAAAACCTTTGGACCCTGTACTGACAGAGCTTCAAATTTATGTGGGAGATGATAATGATTGCTAGCTAATGCAATATTAACATATCTTCTTTATTTCAGTACAAAGATGGTTTCCAGATTCATTGTAGTATCACAAAGTTATTTTGAGGTATAGGATATAGTGACCAAGGACATGTGTGGTTAAGCAACTAACAGATAAATTAGACAAAGTTTAGAAGATTCAGACCTGAGACTGGGAAGTGGATTAGATTTCAAATACTGCATCACACAGAAACTGAGTGAGGCTGCAGCTCTCCTACGGTATTTCACAGATCTGTAAATGTTTTTTTAAAGATGCTCAATCCAACACTTAGCTGGCTATAACGAGGACTTAAGGGAGCAAAAGGCTCTTTTTTCTTTTTTCTTTCTTTTGCTCTGTTGCTTCATTAGCTTTGGGAACACTGGTTCCATTACTGTGAGTTTTCCTGTATAATTTAAGAAAATAATGAAAGCGTGCATATTTTCCTCGGTGTTCTTGGCATTAAATCTGTCTTTAGATTTGTTTAGCCTCTTTTTTATACACAGTGTAGGCTGGTATCCTTTTGAATATTTCAAAACTGTAGGAATTGTTTTGGGTTGTTTTTATTCAAGATAGAAGTTTCTTTTTTTTTTTTTTTTAAGATCGAAACATGAAAAAAAAGAAAAAAGAAATCATTGCTACAATACGTAAGTTCCCATTGCTCTGTGGCAGTGGTATTAGTGCATGCCATTTCACAAAAATATCAGTGGTCCATGTTGCTTTCTTCTCTCACAAGCATCCATAACAAATACTGTGCTGTTGTGAGATCAAGAGGAGGTAATTTTTATGCAAATAGCACTGACATTTAGCACTAATTTTTGTTTTTTCCCTTCCAGGATCAATAACTGTTTCATGTTTTTGTTCAATAGGGATGGATTTTGGAAGGCTTCCCTGAAAATCAGGAACAGGCATGGATGCTGCAATCATCTGGCATCATTCCTAGGCATGTTGGTAAGCAGCACAAGGTTTATGTGTGATTGCATCCAGTAGGAAAGACTAGAAGTGTTTCTCCTCAAAAATCCTCAATAAATTCAATACCGATACTGAAGACATCAGAGTCACTGGACAGCAGAATATTTCAATGCGGTTCAAATTCATTCAAAAACTTGAGGTAACCTGTGAGACTTTAAATCCTGTCTTTCACACACGAACCCTTTTCTTCTTACACGTTAGAGTTCTGTAAATACTTTCTGGGGGGTTTTTTTGTTAAAAAAAAAGGCCACTCCAGCAAGTGTTTCTGAGCAGCTATATGCAGCTTTGCTTCTGTCCTAGGAGTGGGTCCAAATTTTCTCTGACTTCAATCTCTAGAAATCAGCCTTTAGTGATCGTCAGACCAAAACAATTCCTCATGTACTAAATACAAATTCGTCCTTCTGTTGAATTAGAGAATGCAAGCTTAGCAAACTTTGCTCCACCAAGTGAAGCGGGAACATCATGATTTTAAGCTTGACCTTTCAGAGTATGGGTGGATTCTGACTTTATTTGAGAGGAACTTTTTTAGTTAAGTTTACTGGCAAAGTGCTGATAGACAAGACCTTGACAGCTGTCCTTGCCATCTAGAAGCAGCCAGTTATCTAAGGACCTACTTAGAATGTAAGAAATTATTATGATTGTGTGGAATACAGTGTAAAATGATAAATGTAGAGCTTGCCAGTGGATAGTGAACAGAATGTTAGTGAACTTGATGAATTGTCACTTTGGATTTGATTTGGATGAGATTTGACTGTTAATGAAGAATTCAGAATCACTGCAATAGTTAGGCAAAAATGTTTAATGTCTAGTACTTGCATGTATTTTTAATATAGCTAATAACATCTGAAGTTGAGTTTTGCTCACAATTATATCTGTGCAACGAAGACCTGAATGAGAATCTTAAAGCTCAGTCTGTCTAGTTAATCAAAAAGAAGATTGAGAGGAGGTGAGATTTATGGTGTATGAGTACCTTAATAGGGAGAAAAGCGTCTGAAAGCTATTTGATACAGAGAAGAAAGTCATAAGAAGTACTTGTTTGAAACCTGTTATCAAATGCATGGAAAATAGTAATTAAATTACAGTGTTTAACTGTGAGGGTGATTAACCAAAAGCAACCTAGGGAACCGACAGATTCTCCATCTTTTAATGCTTTCTAATCAAATTTGAATGCTTTTCTGTGAGGTTATCAAAAAATAAGTTTCACTGGTCTCACTACCAAAGTAGCTGGGTGAAAAGTAATTGTGGTATAGAAGAGAATCAGTATTGAGTGATCGGTGGGTACGTCCATCCTAGGCTCCAGATACAATGTAAGTGAGGGAGAACCTTGTTAATTGGTATGGGCAATGGGGACAGCTAGGACTGGACTGGATTAATGTATATTTTATCCCGCTATACTGTTTAGGAGGTGGAGCAAAACTCTGATTAAAAGTGAAGTATTTGCAGGTAGAATACTGGGAAAGGAGAATGAGGCAAATGTGCTTGAAATACATTCATCCATCTTTAGCACTAGAATACATCTGAACAGTTACAGGAAATAAAACAAGTAACTAACAAAAGCTACACTTTTTTTCTTTTTTCTTCCTTTTTTTTTTTTTTTTTGTGCCTAGTTGTGCTTTATGCTCCAGACACTGTGCTGATTGAGAGGAACAGTGGGAAAAGGCTTGATCCCGTCACAGAAGGTGCAGTATGTGTTTGTTCCTGATCTCCACTAGAAACTGGAGTGTTGCTTGGTCTCGCACACATTGTAATACCAGTGGGATTAAAATTTAAATGGTATCCCTTTAAGAACTAGTAGGAATTTATAATTATAAACTTAAACTGTTTGGAAAAAGTATTTGTTGACATTGCATTATTTTCTGTGCCAGTAAAATACGGGAAAACTTAAAGCTCAGTATTGAGCCTGCAAACAGTAGACTATGGCACTACAGAATATTTGAAGGTTAGATCTGTCCATAACGGCTTACATTTTGCTATGCATCTTCGCTAGATGCTGTTCTTTTTCTGAGGTGCAGGTATGCTTTCAGGTATCTTCCATTAAATGACTGTAAATTGACTTTGCTCTGTATTGTCTGTTGACTATCATTATCAATCATCCATCACGAAATAAAATCCTGACATTGCTCAATAAAAAAAATAATGTTGGATTTTTTAGGAGTGGAATTAGGAGAGACGTTCTTAACTAAAGAAATGGCTTTTATTTGCTATAAAGGAGATCTGCTTATCAAAGGTCTTGCTTAAGGTTCAGTCTAAGAATTTGGAGAGTTATCCCCAGTTCCTGGTTCTTACTCATCATGCTGTCTGCACTACGTGGGTGGGCTGTTAGCTTGGCCACTTCCTATCTGTGCACCTGCAGAGTAATTGTCAGCTGTCAGTACAAGTTGAGGGAACTGCACAGGTTATTGCTTGTGCCACAACATAAAGCTTAAACAAAGACCTTGATTTTGTTTAGGAAACCTTTTGGAGCTGAGCAAGACCTATTAAATCATCCTCTTAGTTTCTAATCAGTGTCTAACTTCTAGAGGTGTACCATACGACCTTTGACTGGCCAAGTGATCTGCTGGTACAGCAACGTTTGGTGAAACCAGAAGATCTATCTGAACAGGAGATGTCAAAGAAACTGCTGAAATATCACAGAAACTTCCCTGAGGTTTTCCAGATCTACCAAAAAGTTTTGAAATCGATCAATGCAGACCAGCCTTCCATGGATGTCCTCTCACAGGGTAAATATGTACCTTTATGGCCAATCTGATAGTTGGTAAACTCTTATTGAAAGGTAGTTCCTACTGTTAGAGACAGTTTCTAGGATTAGGATTAGTCAACACAGATGGCTCCCAGCTAGGTTGTGCTCTCTCTAGTACAGTGTTTGGGCTGTTCCTGGTAATTATTTTACGGGATGAGAGTAAGTGCGGATAACCGGAAGGTCTTAGTTCCACAGTCCTGCCAAGGAACAGCTGACTCCGTAGAGCCAATGTCATGGTTATTTCTGTGAGAGTCTCTTCTAAAAGGCTGCATTGTGGCTCAATTGGCTCCCAGAGGGCTAGTACCTTCCACAAGTCTGATAACAAGAAGTAGGAATAGTTCAAAGCCAGTAACATTTCATTATTTAAAAGCTGTTTGTGCTGGTAGATTTTCTGTTCAACAATTCTTGTTTGCCTTTGCTTGATTGTAATGCAATCTGACTTTTAATGTTGATTCTTCAAGAAGAGAATAAGGAAACTGCCAGGAAGACCAATTGATAATGTACTTTGTAGCTGTCAGTCTGTAGATGATCTGTTATATCCCAGTAATTTTGCATCTCAAAAGGTCTTTTTTTTAATAACAAGTGCTGCACTTTTAAGATAAACAAGTAGGAAGTTTATATTCTGAATTTACACATTAATTACCTCTAAATTACTTAATTAAATTTAAAAGTTCATATCATCATTCATAAAGAATTCATGCCTTGAATTGTAAATAAAAATGTGAGTGCCTGAATATTAATTATTATTAATTAATAATGTAGTGAGATAAATTGAAAACTGGAATGAAAAAATCCTCTCTAGATCTTTTTTTCTGCAGTGCATCAAGCAGCCAGATTTTTTTTTAAAGAATAATTAGATGTGGAGACTGTCTAGGGGATCATTACTCCTAATTAACTTGGTTATTTACTGCAAATTAAGCATCATTTGTAAGCAGGGTGCTTTGCCTGTAATGTTTGTGCTTTTCAATACACTGGGTTATGGAAAATGTTCAGAATAACTGGAGCACTCCTTCTGTAGCTGATACTTGGGTTTTAGGCAGTTATGCAGCAAACACACTATTTTCTGTTATGCTTTTCCAGGTTTTCTGTTAAGTATTTTTATTGCTACAGATAGAGTTAGAAAGAGGAGGTCTCTCATCGATATTAGTATTGTTATGAATTGTTTCATACAACTATAAAATTTTGTAAATTCTTACACTTTAATGCAATTAGTGCTAAGGTATGCTAGGATATGTGACATCAAATTCAGTTGTACAGTGTAGTATCCCCGTACATATTGTGGCACCGGAGAAAGAGATGTATACGATCCCAGGTGGTTGCAGTTTGAGTTAGCTTCTCAGTACTTTAGGTCCGCTGTCTAGAAGTAGCAGGGCTGGAGTTTGCTGGAGATGCTTCTTTATTACAAAAAGATTTTATAATGATACCAAAGTGTCTAGCAGACGGTCCTCAGAAAAATTGTCAGTTTGTGTACAGCAATGTGTTAACAATTGTAGCTACAATACTGATCCTTATGATGTTCTCCAATCCTTTTGTGTTTTTCATATGGGCTTGTGATTCATAAAAACATTAATGTCTAAGCCTGTCCTATTTGTTAGACTAAAATACCATTTCATTACAAGGACTCTTTAGTCTAGAGAGTCTTTTATTTGAACTGAAGATGTCTGGGCTAACACTTAATTGTATCCATTGCAATTACAGACAAAATCAAAACCTGTGTAGGTGTGCCCATGCTGCTTTAATCATGAGTAACCATGGCAGTCAGGATATGGTGGCATGACCTTTAGCCTTGGCATTTGCATCTGTGATCCCTGGAAAGCTTGCGTAGCTTGTGCTGAAGCTTGAGCTGCTCTCTTCACTAGTATTGTTAGCCATGAAAAGGGCACGGGGAGTAAGAGTGTTTGGCTATGTCCAAATACGATCCTAATTTATCCTCACTGCCAAGCCGTGTCTTCTTTTAGCTTCTTGGTAATCTATCAGGTTCTCTTTTGAGATTTTAACAAAGTTCAGACCTCTGTAATACAGCAATGTTGATGATGCTTCGCATGTCCTGTGGTCTTTCCAAAGTTCTTATAATCTGTAGATTGACCTGAATGTAGTATTTCCTATGTGATACAAAATGTAGAAGAATGATGTCCAGCAAACAGAGTGGAATTGAACAGAGACGCTCAAATATCCTTTACATGTTACGGAAAAGTGATGGACAAAAGAATGAAATCATACTCGGTTATGTGTTGTCAATGCCGAATTGTGTCGTGACATCCTATGCTACAAGTCTATGATATTGTAATTAGGAGTCTGTTAATCAGAAGCACACGGCTGGATCAATGTCATATTAATTTAACATCCTGAGTTTTTACACTTCAATATTTGTTCAGAAACTGCAGAAAGTATTAAATGTAATTATATCCCTCTGTAATTTGCATGGTAAAATTGTACCTATCAAGGAAGAATTACTTCTGCTAAAAACAACACGGTAAAAGAGTAATTATTAATTGAATCTGCTCTTTAAAATGGTTTGACATCGACTGATGAAAGGAAGTATAGAAGTGTAATGATAGATTTCTAAAGTGCCTCTCAGTGTAAGTTGCTGACATGACAGTTATATCAGAGGCCTGATTTTGGTTGGAGTATCCAGATGTTTCAGTGATAAAATAAGTGATGATCAACATGACAACGTTTTTAAAAAAAAAAAGTTAATCAGTGTTTATATTATTTAAAAAAAAAAAAAAGAAAGAGGAGATAAATTGAATATAATCTATTTCTTGCCTTTCTCTCATGTTCTAGTTCTTACCTATGTCCAAACACGGCACCGATCAGCCGCCCCCTTTACACCACGGATTCTCTTCTGTGGACCCCCAGGCAGTGGGAAGAGCCTGCAGGCAGCACTAATAGCTCAGAAATACGGTGTTGTCAACAGTAAGTTCTCAGTAAATATGCACTTTGCTCAATTCCCCCTTTCTCTCTTTTTGATCATTTATCTTTTGCTGTCTGTCTTTCTTACTTGCTCATAAAATTTCTCTGTTTGTCTGTTGCTATGGATGTCAAATTTTTGAGGGAAGTGAAGAGTATTTCAATGAAGAAATATAAACCAATAGAGCATATATTCTGTGACAAACCAGCTCTAACATTTATTTAGTCACCATTTTTTCATACCCTTTACATCAGTATTTTTCCATGTGTTAGATTCTTGTAGTGCTCTGAATTCTTCTGTGGATCAGTGGCTCATGAGTAATGTCTTTGCAGTTTCAGCTGTCTGACCAAAATTGGGGCACTTTTAAAATAGAATTTACTCTGAACTTTAATGAAGACTCAGGTTCTGTGCATCTGAAGTAATGTATTAGAAAAGGAAGCAATTATTTAAAAGTGCATTCTCTTTCTTTTGGAAAGGGGACCCAGAAAATTCTATACGACACTTGTTCATGGTTAGCATGCTAATGTTAAAAAGTCCTATAATATGAATGCACAGCTTAGTGATAGGATCAGTGCAATATGTGTCCATGTTCTATAATGTCTTCTAATAGTGGAGTAGCCATGAATTATTCTAAACAAATGTCTGATATCTGTAAAATTTGCTGATTAATCATATCCTCTCTGTTAAGTAAAATGCAAGTTTGTTTCGTTAGTATTCTTTCAATGTGTACCAAATGAAAAAATCAGTAGGTAGTGATTTTTTTTTTTTTTTTTTTTTAAATCTTTGGGAGAATCGTTAATTAGTGGAACTCACTCAGTTGCCCGTAGTGATGTGCCAGTTTGCTAGTGTCTTCTGGTGAAATCTGTCTTCCCTGAACTTCTGGTGAAGTCAAAAGATTTCATTGAACCTGGATTTGGCTTTACATGTGAGTAATAACTTCAAGATCTGAGCGGTATTGTTTTCAATTACAGGTTTAGTAGATCTGCTCAGAAAAGAAATAAATTTTTTCAAGTTCAAACTCGAACCTTCGGAAGAAGCCATGTGCTTTCCATATAATTGTTCCAACTAATGGCTAGATCATAGGTTTGTGCAGTTCCATTAAAGGCACAGCAACAGCTATGAAACTGTCTACTTATCAGTTTGGGGTTCTAGGTTTAGTATTTTTGTATTTTAAGTCTTTATTATTATTTTCGTGTTTAAAAAAAAATACATGAATATGACTGAAATGATATCCAGTGAACTTGAAAAAGATTAATTTAAATTACTTAAAAATCTATATTACAATACTGATAAGTACAAATAAAATTGATAAAATGTTTATGCTATCATTTATTTTAATATTGCTGTGATTTATAATTTCATACTAAAAATAAATATTTGTAGATTTATTCAAAGCTATATTTTTAATAATTGTGTACTTGGCTTAATGAAAAATAAAACATGTTTGAATGTGTTAAAGAAAAATTAACTTCTCATGGTTCTGAATTTTTTTTTTTTAACTTTATTTCTAAAACTGCAAGTTTGATCGTGTTTTCATCTGGGTCAAAATTTGCATTTGTTTTAAACAACTACTATATGAGAAAGTTGCAGCTCTTTTTACTAAATACCATTACCACTGCTTTACCCATATGTTGAATTTTATTGTAAGTATACAGTAAGCAAAATATTAGAAGAATTAAGTATTTAAAACAGAACCAGAAGACCATAATTTTTCAGAATAGTATTCAGCATATACTTAATTTCCAATTAGTCTATTGGGACTGAAGCATAGGCTTAAAAATTTAATCCTATGTTTAAATAGTCTCATGAATTGGATTGAATTTAGGCGTACACATATTAGTTTTCTTAAGTTGGGGTCTAGGCACTGAGTTTCTGTTATGTTTTTACACCATTTGTTGTGAATATGAATTTGCCTCTCCAGGACAACTAGTGACTGTTAAAATTTGTGTTCAACCCTTGTCGCTTAAACATTAAACTTCATCAGCTTTGTCCAAGAAATGTTCCTGTGGAGTATTCTTACTCTTGTTTGCCGAACAGTGTGATTAACAGCGATAAAGCAGATGAAAGGGCTTGCTTCTTTTTCCAGTAAAGCCAGTGCAGCTGTAGATGTTGGTGCTATTGATTTCCAAAAAGGTGGACTCAACTTATGATTATTAATGGAAAGGTCATGCAATAATGTACAGAGTGACTGTTATCTAATATTTACCAAAACTGAGTTGTGATGTTGTGTAACCTCTCCATGCCTTAGTTCCCCCTCTGTAAAGTAAGGGTCAGGACTGTTGCATCTAACTCGCGTGGGGCAGTAAGACTCAGTAACTTTGGCCAGAAGGTGCTGTCCAAGCCCAAAGTAATAGTATTTCATCTACAACTGTCCTGACTAAAACTTTAAATCTGCATCTCCTGGTGTTCTGTGTATTTGAAGTCAGTGATAATATTGCATTAGCACAGTTTTTTAAATATAATTCTTTACATGATCATTAAATGATCCAGGGAGTCACTTCCTTGAACTGCGTATTATCCTGCACCTCCAACAGTGCGGTTCAGATGCTGTTCAAACTTTATTCAGTAATTATAAGTTTATAAAAAGTGAAAACCACTAGCAATCCCTTGAGTTATTATTTCAGAAACATATTTAATTAATATCTTTCTTTCTATCTCTGTTTTAAATATGTTCTTTGCCAAATGTATTCTTTTTTATTCAGTATTCTCCTCTGCTCAATCTCTTTGCTTTTTGCTCTGCTTGGCCAAAAAAAAAAATATCCTAACAACAAACCCAAAAAACCTACAACTTTTATTTTATTCAGTGACTTTATTCCAGTATGCAGCTTCTGTTTTTTTTTTTTCTTTTCTTTGTTGCTTCCTTTTTAAAATTTAACCTTGTGTCTTTTTTGTTCTTCCTTCCTGTTAGTTTGCTGTGGGCAACTGCTAAAGGAAGTTGTTGCAGACAAGACAAAACTTGGAGAACTCGTTAAGCCTTATATTGACAATGGATACCCAGGTAGGGCACATTGGTGTCTCATTACACTGTAGTTACAACTTTGTGGTGAAAAAGAAATTGTGAGTGAGTTTTTCTTGGTCAGATTCTAATCTGAGTTACATCAGAGTTATCTGGATGTGATTTGTAGCACTGCGTGACAGAAGTTGCATTTCTAAGCTCTTCGATATCTTCAAAGCAAATAGTTCACTGCTCCAGTGAAATTCAGATTTCTTGTACGCATTCCAAAATTTGAATTCCATGTTTTTAACTCTAAATCAAAATCAGGATTCCGATATAGGTGTCTAATTTTAAAATGCTTAAACTGTTATTTAAAGCACAGTATTGTGTTTCATTTTTAGTTCAGGTTGGCTGTAAGAAAGACTCTGCTTTTATATATGGATTTTGACTTTTAGAATGCTACTGTAGATTCCTCTACTTTCATGCAAATATTTTAAACTTAAAAATAAAGTTTCTTTGCATTTCATTTCTATCAGCATTGTTAGTTGTAGGAGGGGACTGCCACAAAGAATATCTAAGCATACTTTGCTTTTGAAAGGCTCTGCGGTGATTTCAGATAAATCATAAATACTTTAAGCTCCTTAAGGCAGCAGCTTAAACTTACCTGTTTGTTAGTTGTCTTGCACAAGGATAGCTCTCTGTATGTGGTGGGTATCAAAAATCAGAAAACATCTGTAGTTCTAAAGCATAAGTTGTATTTCAGTAGGGTGGAAGAATGTTTATTTTGCCAAATTACAATGGTGCAGAAGAAGAACTTCCACTCCTGTTTCTGGCAACAGGCCAGATGGTTACCAACGATACAAATATAAGGAGACAATCTTGCTGAAGATTGAGAAATCTCGGTTAAGCTTCAGTATTAATGGAATTTTGAGCAAACCCCCCCCTGAGCAAAGAGAAATCTTCATTGTCTTTTATTTTTGGCAAGCAAAGTAATTTGGTGAGGTGGAAAGCTTGAAAGTCCCTTTTTTTGCACAATAGCTTAATTCTGAGACTGAATTACACAGATCTGAAACATGAGCCTATAAAATTAACTGAGGTTCCCTTGATACCATACCAAGAGATTCAGTACTTTTCTAAGCATTTCAAAAAGACCTTTGGCAGCCTGCAGCTTTGGGTATTCTATCCCTCTGTCAGTCACTTTATCAAGCCACAAGGTAATACATTTTAACTCTAAACTTCATCTCTAGCGAATGGATTGCATTTATTAGTAATACAGTAACTTGGCTAGTTCAATACGTTAATTTTCTGTGGCAGCCACCATATTGCTGGGACCAGGAGCTTATGTGGGAACCATGGGAATGGAAAGTATGAATCTCTACAGCCTGAAAGAGAGAAGCTGGGTCCTCTGTAACATAGGCACAGAGGCCTAGGAGAGGATTTTCTGATTTAGAGATACTGTTAATCAGAATGGCCATTTAATTCAAAGGCAAGAGATCTTAGCGTATATTAATTGCAATGTATCCTAGATCTTTATGTATGGAAATAACTTCTTCATGTGTATAGTCTGATTGACCTGAATGTGGCTACTTTTGTGTGAAGTCTAACTCACATGTGGAGATCATTTTAAGCTCTGGGCCTTTTCTGTCTTTTTCATGGTATCCATTAGTTTCAGAATCTTACGTGTATGCTGCAATTTCACTTTCTTCTCATCCCTGTGAAGTGGAGGGCAGCCACTGTAAATACCTTGGTCTCTAAATTTCAGTTATGGCTGAGGTGAGTTTGATCTATTTATTCAAAGATAGGTCCTTTAAGAGCTTTCTTTACTAAAATGCTCTTTGTGTATTTCATAAACTTCATCTTAACCATTCAAGTTCCTTAAAGGAGATGCCAAAAGCACTCCCAGTAGAGTAAAACAATTGCAAAGATTGTAATTTTTAGCCAGTCCTAAAAATATGCACATCCTTAGTGCAAGGGAGCTGCTTTCATTTCAGGAAAATGAAATTGAAGTTGTAATTCCTTTCTTCCTCCAAATTAGAAATTATTTCAGATTTAGATTAATTTTTTTAATATAGCATGCAAGGATAAAGCTGTACAATGCTTCTGAATGTTAATGGCAATCGTAACTATATTTCTGTGCATTGTGCTAAAAAATTCTCCCTTAGTTTTTGCTTGTATGCACATATATTTTATTTGGTGGGACATACTACAAAATTAAGGGCTGAATAAAAGTAAATATTATATAGCAATACCAGAAATAATAAGTTCTGTCATTTTGCTAATCCTTCTCTCCCAGGGATAACAAAGAATGAATTTACATTAGTAAACACTAACAATAATTCATTACTGCCCTCACAAGAGGCTTGGAGAAAATGAAAGAACATAATGTACTGAAGAGGAAAGATGAGCAAAGAGTCCTTACTGTCTTGTTACAGAGTTACAACCACGTTAATACAAAGGAAAGATTTTCACACTATTATTGACTACATTCAGTTTCAAGAAAATCGCATTTGAACAGTTAGTTTAGTCAATAGCAGACGGTGTGATAACTGGAAAAGCAATTAGAGCTTCAAAATTTTCATTGCATTTCTAGTTATGTACCAAGTAAGCGTAGTTGTTCCTTTGGGCAAGGAATGTTATCACAGGCTACCCTGGAACGAAAGACAGACCATGAGAAATGTTGTGCTCAAATGATTACTAGTCAAAATGAAACCAGTGCCATAAAATCTTGAGGGCATGCCTCATATATTCTTAAAATGCTTGCCCCGTTGACTGATCTCAGTGTGGTTCCCCTTCTTGTGGTCACAACTGATTGCATACAATTCATCTTTTAAGATATGCCAACAGGGTAGGTTGTGGTGTCATAAATAGGCTAAAAACCCAGCTTATTCAAAGCTAACTCGTTATTGAGGATGTCCACTGTCTAGTCTGTTCTAGTTCTGGTTGACTATCTCGGATCTCTTCTTGGTTTTAGAATTCACAAACATTCTTTGTATTGCTTTTTCCTGTATGCTGCATCGTGTATACAACATGTATTTCAAGAACAGCCCAGACAGTTCTATTATTCACTCCAGAAGGCAACTCAGTGCATTCCCATTTTCTGCATTTTCTAGTGTTTGCTGTCTCATAAAGACCTTATCTCTTGCTTTATCAAACTTCTCAGTTTTGTATATGGTGATTTATTTTGCTTAATGAAGGTAGCATAGATATTTTTGAGACCATTCATTTTTTAATTCCCCAGACATTCTAGTCTACAGTTGGTGCACACTAGATACTCAAAAGTGCATTTTCAGTGAAAAGTTCAGCAACCTGACTGCTTTCTGTCTGTCATAAACATAGAGTCGTTCCTTGGACAACCAGTCTGAAATGCACAGACTTTTCCTTTAGGATATTGTGGTTTTCACTGAATACTAGGCAATTACTGCTAACCATACTCTGGGCAGAAAATTAATAGCATTGTAGTCTGATACCAGTCTTACCAGTCTTCTGGTTGCTACCTCCAGTTAGTTTAAATCTTGGTCAATAATGCTAAATTCAGCACACAGCGTTTGCTTGGGCAGCCTAGGAGGACTTCCATTTGGGGTAAGAGGTGAGCGTAGTGGCCAGAACCCTTCCCTAGACAGCAAGACAACTCACATAAATTCATTAATTCAGTTTGATTCCTTCTGAAATGTCATGAAGAGACTGTTCCATAGACTGGCCCTCCCCTTCTAGTAATTCAGGCTATGGGCAAACGATGAATATGTAGATAGCCCCTTCACAGACCCCACTGGCTTGATGAAGACCTTTATGCAGAATTCGTGTCCCCGCGTTGCTGTAATTCTGAGGAGGTCTAGGCTGCACTCTGGACCTGTCTCACTGAAAACGTGGGCACACATTAATTAAAAGTTCCACCTGCAGTATCTAAGTTCACCATTTTAAAGGTATCTGTCAGAATTTGATAGCCTGTGAGGGGAAAAAAACCCTGCAGAAAGCATTTCTGCTTTATGCTTTTTTTTTTTTCTTCCCCTAAATGCCCCCGGTGTTTGCCCCTTGAGATGTTTGCATTTTATTAATGAAAATAGAAGCAGGGAAAAAAAACCCTGCAGAAAGCATTTCTGCTTTGTGCTTTTTTTTTTTTTCTTCCCCTAAATGCCCCCGGTGTTTGCCCCTTGAGATGTTTGCATTTTATTAATGAAAATAGAAGCAGAAGCATTTTGGCATTGGGGGCATCACAAAAATAGGAAAGATCATCAGTCAGCTGAAAAGAAATTTGCCATTCTGTCTGTTCAATTTTTTGTGTTTTTGTGGTGAAATAGCATGGAGTGGTCACCACTAATTAATATATCTGTTTGCAAGGCTGCAATAAATGGAGCCAAGAAAAGTGAAATGACAGGAGAACATCATGAAGATTTTCCACTCCCAAACCAGTAAGATTCTGCTTTTCAGCTGGGAGAACTGCTATTAGTTTGGGTAATTGTTTTTTCCACCAAAATGAAGATTCAGGTGGTAAAGAGAGCCGATTCATGGAAGACAGATAACATTGCACTGTTTGCAGCCTGTTAGAGTTGAACACACACAATCTGTGTTGTTTTTTCCCCTTCCGTTTTCTATTTTTTAAGTAGTAATATCTGAAGCTGTCCCCAATGGCAGTCTGCATGTGGGGGGTAAAATCTGGAATTCCCTAATTTCTCCTATTTTCTAATAAAAACTATTACTGTACAAATGTAGAAATTTTCCCCCCCTTATTTTAAATTGGAATGGTTTTAAAGGGGTGCTTTTTGGTGTAGCCTCTGAAAGTTGGGGTCCCCTGGTGATTGTGATCACAGTCTCACTGAAAGCACTTGGGGGGTTTTTTTGACGTCAAATTAATATTCTCATCACTAAGTGTGAAGTAAAGATTTGACAATGGAGCGGCTTCCTCTTTGTTAAAAACTTGCAAAGAGTTTCAGAGTTGAAAGGCTGAGTAAATCTTTATATCTGAGGAGGTAAGCTTAGTGTTATTTCTTGTTTTTAACAGCGCTGTACTGGCGAGCTGCAAGCTGTCTGAACATTGGAGAGAGACCCTTTGGGAGCTCCATTGGTTT